TAACCAACTGAGCCACCCAGGCGCCCGAAAATGAATAATTAAACACAAAGTATTAAAAATCTATTCTGCCTTTTCAGGAGGAACTGTATTTCAGGGAAACCAACAGTGCCAGTCGATGAGGGGAAGCTTGTCTTTTCAGAAGAATGCCACGTAATGCAAACAGAATAATGAACAGATTTAGAAAATTCACCACATACAGCTCCTAAAGAAATAACTCCTTCAGGCAAAGATAATCAATGGATTCTATAACTGTTAGGTGAAGAGTTGATAGTGAGCTGGATGTTCACATAATGACAAAATACCGCTTGCAAAAAGGGAACAGTAGATCTTTAAAATGAAGAGACCAGATGACACAAAATGCTCATTTTCCTTGGTGTCTAGAATCCAGGATGTGACTGGTACTTTCTTTTGATTCCTTCTGAATCTCCACCATTATTTTTCTTTCCTGAAATGGCCCTTATTAGCTCTACCTATGGCTTGCTCACTCCTGTATCCTTAGCCAAGCTCAAAAAGTGTATCATTTCAAAACCTCCCTCCTGACAACTTCCAGGCATGGGTCACCAACACTAAACTTTTCCTGAATTCATGATCTAAATTTCCAACTGTCCATCCCAAAGATACCTCCAAATCAACAGATCCAAAATGAAACTCACTTTCTCCATTAATCTTGGCACCCTTCTGAAAAATGTTCATCATACTCTTCACCTCTTTCTACTCGTCTCTCATCTGAAACTAGTACAGCAACCTTCAAACTGGAGGCGGGCCCCAGCCTTAACCTCTCCAACAGTGCTCTCCGCCACTTCCCACAGAGGACTGTTCTAGAATGTACGCTGGAGCACATCACCCGTGGGACAGACACTGCAGGTAGCCCAGAGGAAACTGCACACAATCACGCTTGCTGTGCCACATGCCTCTTCACCTTTACTTATGCTCTTTCAGAGCCTAGACTCCAATAACACCTCTTTTGTAAGATCACTTACCATTTTTCAACACCCAATGCAATTGCTACTTTCTCTAAGAAGGATTCCCGGACTTTCAACAGACATCAGAATGTCATGCTTTTTATTACCACTATATTCTAATTTTACTTCTAATTATAGCTCTAACTTATAATTTAGTTAATTTTTAAAATTGCTATTTCCACTGTTACATCGAAACCAAGGCAGAAGATCGCCATTCACCTTTAAACTCAAGCACTTAGCTCAGTGGCCTATACCAATAATGGAGGGCTTTTACTTCAATGTCATTTTCACATGGTTCAGAATCCCTGAATTTTCAAAGAACACTTCTGTAAGTTGTTTTAAAAATGAAAAAGGGAATGCTTTCAAAAGGCATCACGATAAACATCAGTGAAACGCATTTTCACTGAAATATGATTGTACTTTTAGATTTATACTACCAGATGTATAACTGTTATATGCCTATTTCAATTCAATGTCACACCTACAGTATACAATGTCTGTGGATAATGTAATTATTTCCAGTTGCATCTAAAAAGCAGTGTGACATTTCTCCAATTACATCAATTATGACATGTAATTCATGTTTCAGGCCACCACAAAGTAATCATATTAAAGGAGATAAGGGCTAAAGATTAAAAAAAAAATCTGTCCTTTTGAACTCCAACCGAAAAATTCAATTTTATATTTGTAGAATCAACTTTGAATAGTTAATAGATAAGAAAAATAAAATTGATATTAACCCCTCATAACAAAAAAGTTTTCCTAATTCAATATTGTTATGGTCATGTCAATAATGGATTCATACATTAATCTATAATGTATGAGAAGCCCAGCTGAAGTAACCTTAGTCATTATCAAGAAAGTGAAGAATTTCTAAAATATATTATTAATCACTATGCAATATATGCTTTACTTTGTTGATAGCATCATGCAGGTACTACTAGCATTTCACTCATGTTCTCCCTCACAATCCTGAGCTTGATCCAAAGTTCAGACGAAGACTGTAGTCCTATAAAGTTGTGATTCTGTATTTACAATGTTAGTATAACAACAAACATCATAACATGCAATATGATTTCTCCTTCACAATATATGCTTGGATATTCATGATTTCCAATTGAAATGTATACAGTACATACTATTTTCAGCTTAAAAATATTCATTTCAGTGTAAATGATTTTAAAAACATAGTAGTCTTAGGGGCGCCTGGGTGGCTCAGTC